CGTGAGCAGCATCAGCCACGCTGTTCGCCAGCTTCCACCTGTGTCTCAGCACGTCAAAGAATGCAAAAAGCCGCCCTTCACGTTTCTGTAGCCCCCGGGATGCCCCCGCCCAGCCCCCAGCCTGGGCCAACCCCATTAGAACCCAGATTGGGGGTGTGGGGCTCACGTGAGAAAACAGCCCCCCTACCCCAGAGGGCTCTGCAGTGACACGTCCAAACACTCGACCCCCACACACAGACACGCACACAGTGACAGATCAATGACCACACACATGCGAGGGGTTAACAATGAAGATTGATCTGTGAGTGTACACACACACACACACACACACACACATAGACGTACATAGACATACATGGATATAACACAGACAGACGCACACAGGTGTACAAAGAGACACAGACAGATCTGTGGGATCTCATGAGGGTTAAAAAGTGACCACACACTCACAAACAACATCACACTGTCACACACACAAACACACACGCGCTCCGCCATCATCATCCCCCCCGTCTCCTCCTCAGTAGGCGGAATAGGAATGAGGGGGGCGTGTAGGAGGCAGCGGGAGGGGGAGGGCTCGGCAGCCGCGGGGAGGGAGGGAGGGAGCAGAGCGCAGCGCAGCGCCGTGGAGAGCGGGGAGCAGCCAGCGCTGCCACGGGCGCATGGACCTGCCGTCAGGGAGCAGCCAGCCGGCCACCGCTGCCGCCGACATGGAGTCCGCGCTCAGCGTCACCTCCGACGGGGTGAGTCCCCTCTCCTCGTCCTCCTCCCGCTCCCGCTCCCGCTCCCCCGCGCTCTATCTCCGGCAGTCTGCCCCGGACTCCGCGAGGCTCCGCGTACTTAGTTATTTAATAGAGGCGGATATCGGCTTTCCTTTAAAGAGTCGTGCTTATCTTGGGTGTCCTGCCCACGTGAAGTGGGGGGGGGGGGCTGCCCTGTGCTGGCCAGATGTCCACTAACAGCTGTTTCCCCCAAGGGGGGGGGGGGGATGCTGGGGGGAGCCCCCTTACATAAAGGGGCACTAAATGGTCCGTAGCTACGCACATGGGGGCCCCAGCGCCTTTATTCCCGCGGGCTGGCGTGCCGCGAGAATGTCACCTTTCGCCTGCTGTTCGGCGTTCCGCTCTCCTCTGTCTAATGTCGTTCCACGTGAGTGGCGACAGAAGCCGGCGCGTGGAACCAGAACTTTGCGGCTGAGCCGTGCCCACGTCTTAAGGATGCCCCCCGGTCTGGCGGAGAGGGTGGCCCCGTGGTGCTTCCCGCATGTGGACAGCAGAGGGTAGCCTCAGAGCGATGTTTGGGGAGGGGAGGGGAGGTTCAGCCCCCAGCACCGGCGGCCTTGGCCGGGTCAGCCTGACATTTTGGAAAGGTCTCCAGGTTGCCCCCTAGCTTGTTTTTATGCTGCCTGTGTTAGAAGACCAGACAGATGTTGCGGCTGATACCATGGACCTGCTCAGGGACCGAGACGGTTCAGCCTGGACTCTAAATGCCCCCGGTGGACGTTTCTGGGATCGCAGGTGGACGGGGGGGCAGAGAGGCAGGCGCAGGCTGTTTAAATGCCCTGATTGCACCGGGACACACTGTCACCCTGACTGCCTTCCGTCAGCTTCCAGAACAAAACAGTGTTTCTGTACCGTATGAAGTCTTATAAGACTTATCACCAGCAGGTCATGAGCTGGAGTTACACTGGGAACTGTCATA